ATCCTTCCCCTGGAGTGGGGAGGGAATGAGGATTTTGCAGTATCCTTCCCCTGGAGTGGGGAGGGAATGGGGATTTTGCAATATCCTTCCCCCAGGAGTGGGGTGGGAATGGGGGTGGGAATGGGGATTTTGCAGTATCCTTCCCCCAGGAGTGGGGTGGGAATGGGGATTTTGCAGTATCCTTCCCCTAGAGTGGGGTGGGAATGGAGATTGTGCAGTATCCTTCCCCTGCCACGCCCACCAAGCCAGGCCCACAGAACCGGTAGTAAAAAAAAAAAATTGTGGATTTCACCACCGGATAAAACTCACTTTTAACCACGGGCACGATTCACTGAACCATTCCACCGATTTGCTTAACAACGCTGCGGCAAAAGGGTCACAGAACGGGACAACGCTCTCGTTAATCACTAGCCTCGCTTAGCGGCAAAAATGTTGGGCTCCGTTGTGTGGGTCGTAAGTCGAGGACAAGGGTGGCCGAAGAAAGGGCCGAATTCGCTCAAAATGACCATTTTGAGGCAAAAAAACCCCCTCTTTTTTAAATGCAAAAAGACAGATAATCGTGCGGCGGCCGGAAAGGCTCTGGCATTATAAAATTAACTTGCCTTTTGATCTTTTTTGTGGAGTCAGCTTTAGGAAAAAACGGCTGAGGTTTTCCAGAACTATATATTTTTATTTTTTTAAAAAAAATAAAACCCTAAAATAGCAACAGTTGGTTTTTAACAGGGCTGCCAGGAAAAAAAAGAAAGAAAAGGGAAAAACAATTCCAAAGAGATTGTTTTTTTCTTTTTCTTTTAAAGAAAGCAAAACAGACAGCTGTCGGTCCCAAACGCAAAACCCCAAAATTCAAGTTTTTTAACACACACAAAAAAAGTTTGTTCTGTTTTACAAAAGCTTTAAACGAAGGACCCTTTTACGTTGAAATCCGCTCTGCCCCCCCCCTTTTTCATCGAGTTAGAAAGAGGGGGCACAACCCAGGGATCGGTCCCCAAAAGCCAATCCCAGCCAGCCCCCCTCCCCATTTCTCAAGGCTACCCAGGCCAACCCGAAACGGGGAGGGGGGAGGCGGGGGGGGGAGAGAGGAGGAGGGAAATTGGACAAAAGAGTTTGTGCGAAGGAAAAGTGTCACTCAGGAAGAAAAGGACAAAGCAGAGAGAAAGAGAGAGAGAGCAGGAGAAGAGCAAAAAAGGAAGGGAGGCGCATGGAGTTGTCCTCTTTATTCAAAGCACCCCACCCCAAACCCTGCTCCCTTCTAGCACTGATGATGTTACCTAGTTGGGTCATGAAAGGTCTTGCAAGAAAACTAACAAGAAACTCAGAGCGCACCAAGGACCCCGTAGTCCACCTCTTCCTCCTCCTCTCCCTCCTCCTCCTTTCTCCTGCTCCTCCTCCTCTCTGCAAATCCACTCCCTTCTAGCACTGATAACGTTACCTAGCTGGGTCATGAAAGGTTTGCAAAAAGACAGCCAAGCTCAGAGAGCACAAAGGACCCCACCGTCTCCCTCCTCCTCCTCCTCCTCCTCCTCCTCCTCCTCCTCCTCCTCCTCCTCTCCTTCTCCTTCTTTCTTCTGCTCCTCCTCCTCCTCTGCAAATCCACTCCCTTCTAGCACTGATAACGTTACCTAGTTGGGTCATGAAAGGTCTTGCAAGAAAGCTAACAAGCTCAGAGAGTACCAAGGATCCCACCGTCCTTCTCCTCCTCTTCCTCCCTGCACTCTGCTAACCATACTCCCTTCTAGCACTGATGATGTTACCTAGTTGGGTCATGAAAGGTCTTGCAAGAAAACAGCTAAGCTCAGAGAGCAGCCAAGGACCCCATAATCCTCCTCCTCTTCTCAACAAATCTCACTCCCTTCTATAGCATTGATAACGTTACCTAGTTGGGTCAGGAAACGCTTAGTACAAAACAAGCACGCTTAGACCCCCACAATCGTTGTTGTCGTCATCGTCCTCCTCCTCCTCCTCTCCCCCCCCCCCCCACTCTGCAAACCTCACTCCCTTCCAACACTGATGATGTTACCCAATTGGGTCATGAGACGTCTGCAAGAAAAGAGCCAAGCTCCCAGAGCTTCAGGGACCCCACTCCTCCTCCTCCTCCTCCTCCTCCCCAAGTCTTCACCTCCCCCTCCTCTCTTTCTTTTCCCTCCCATCCTCCATCCCACCCTCCTCTCCAATCAGCCTGCAAGATTAGGATTAGGGAATTAGAGCCCGCAGTTCCCCAGCAGGGAAGGTTAAAAAAAAAAAACAACCCAGCAGCTCAGTCTGGATTTAGCCACCAATGCCGCCCGCCGGGCGCAGCTGAGAAGAAGGAGGGAGGTGCTTATAGTGGAAAGCCAGAGCGGGGAGGGGGAAGGGCAGAGAATGGCGGAATGGGGGGTGGGCGCAAGCGGTGAAAGGAGGCCAGGGTCTCTCCAGAAGCAGCTGCCTCATTCCTCCTTGGTGGAGGGGCACAGCCTCTTGTTACTTTCTCTGCCCAGCTCCTTCCTCCTCCTCTGGGTAGGGGCACAGGGGTGAAAAGGAGGGAGGGAGGGAGACTTTGCAGGAAGATGCACAAGGGAGATGAGAGGGGGCTGCTCCATCCATTCCCACCCACCCACCCACCCCCGACACACACACGCCTGTTGTCCCCCCACCCACCCCCCGGCCCCTCCAAACCGGATACCCGGGCTCCACCATTTTGAGAAGGGAGACAAAGGATTCCCATCAAACAATGTCCCGGGGGGGAGCCCCCCCCTAACTCACACCACAAGGCCATTCCCACCTCGAGCAGGAAGAAAGCAGGGAGGTAGGAAGAGAAGACGGAGGGGAGGGTGTGGGGGGGGGGAAGATCCCGGCCCATCCCCTGAAAAAAAAAACTCCAAGCAAGCTAAGCTCCTCTCCATCCACAGGATTGCTAGGGGACCTCAAACCCAAAAAAATTCCTCAATTCTCCATCCTCCGTGGAAACTCCGCGGTTGCTCCTGAGCGGGTCTCTCTCCGTTGGGGAGGAGGGGGGGCAGCGACCCCCTCAAGAAACATTTTCATGGGGCCGCAGAGAGGAGCTTCTGGGGAGCACCCCTCTCCCCCCAAGACGAGCAAGACGGCCTCGCCCACCAAGACTTTTCATTCTTTCTGATTCATTGGGGGAGGGGAAGCCCATTCATTCATCCTTCGTTTGGCTCAGACCGTGTGGTCCAAACAGGCCCCTTCCTTCCCCGAAACTCCCTGCCCCACCAGCATCTTGTTCTGGGGGGGGATTCTAGCCAGCCCCACGCCGTGGGGGGGGGTTGAGAGAGTAAGGGGCCCATCCTACCAACAGCCAGGAGCCTCCCTCCAATACAAGAGGGAACCCCATCATTTGCCCAGGAGGAAACATCCAAGAACCCCCGCCCAGCCCCTCCCCCCCATCTGTGTGAGATATTGTGTGTGTGGGGGGGAGACAAAGAGTTAAGGGTGCCCCACTCCTCTAGTCCGCAGATGGGCCAGGACCCCCAGGCCAACCTAACCTGAGCCCCCCCAGCCCTGAGGGAGAGGACTGAAAGATTGTGAAGGGTGGGGAATGGGAACAAAGACCCCAAGGGAATCCCACTCCTTTCCTCCTCCCCGGATGGCCCAAGAGACCCCCCTCCCCAGATGGGCCCTCCCCTCCCTTGATGAATGGAGACCTTTCCCCCCACCCCCTCTCCTCTCCTCTCTGGGCAGTCAAGAGACCCCTTGCTGGGTGGAGACCTTCCTCCTTTCTCACCTCCCCGGTGGGTCAGGAACCCCCTCCCCAGACAGACTCCTCCCCTCCCTTGCCAGGTGGAGACCTTTCCTCCTTCCTCTCCACCAAGGGCGTGCCAGGAGCCCCCTCCCCAGCCAGGCCCTCCCTTGTTGAATGGAGACCTTTCCCCCCCTCCTCTCCACCCCAGGTGGGCCAAGAGACCCCCCTCCCCAGCCGGCCTCTCCCTTGGCCTCTCCCTTGTTGAATGGAGACCTTCCCCCCTCCCCTCCATCCCTGGTTGGCCAAGAGACCCCCTCCCCAGCCGGCCTCTCCCTTGTTGAATGGAGACCTTCCTCCCTCCCCAGCCAGGCTAAGAGATCCCTCCCCAGCTGGGCTCTTCCCTCCCTTGATGGAGACCCTTCCACACCTCCCTGGGTGGGTCAGGAACCCCCTCCCTGCCCTTGCCTGGTGGAGACCTCTCCCCTTCTCTATCCTGGGTGGGCCAAGAGACCCCTCCCCAGCCGGACTCTCCTCTACCTTGAGGAATGGAGAGGAACCCCTCCCCTCCCTGGTGGAGCCCTCTCCCATTCTCCACCCCAGGCAGGCCAAGAGACCCCTCCCCAGCTGGGCTCTCCCCTCCCTTGATGGAGACCCTTCCACACCTCCCCAGGTGGGTCAGGAACCCCCTCCCCTCCCTTGCCGGGTGGAGCCCTCTCCCCTTCTCCACCCCAGGCGGGCCAAGAGCCCCCCTCTCCCCAGCCGGCCCCTCCCCTCCCTTGCCGGGTGGAGACCTCCCCCCTTCTCCTCCCCAAGCGGCCCAGGAGCCCCCTCCCCAGCCGGCCTCTCCCTTGTTGAATGGAGACCTTCCCCCCCCCCCTCCATCCCGGGTGGGCCAAGAGACCCCTCCCCAGCCGGACTCTTCTCTACCTTGATGAATGGAGAGGAACCCCCTCCCCTCCCTTGCCAGGTGGGGACCTCTCCCCTTCTCCACCCCAGGCGGGCCAAGAGCCCCCCTCCCCAGCCGGCCTCTCCCTTGTTGAACAGAGACCTTCCCCCCTCCCGTCCACCCCAGGCGGGCCAAGCGACCCCCTCCCCAGGTGGCCTCTCCCTTGATGAAAGGAGACCTTCCCCCTCCCCTCCACCCCAGGCGGCCAAAAGACCCCTCCCCAGCCGGCCTCTCCCCTCCCTTGATGGAGACCCTTCCACACCTCCCCAGGTGGGTCAGGAACCCCCTCCCCTCCCTTGCCGGGTGGAGCCCTCTCCCCTTCTCCACCCCGGGCGGGCCAAGAGCCCCCTCCTCCCCTCCCCTGCCCCCCCTTACCTTGCCGGGTGGAGACGTTGCGGTCGTTGGCGGCGCGGAGGCCGACCTGCGGGCAGCTCTGCTCGAGGAGGAAAAGCTCGTCCTTGCCCACCTTGGTGGCTTTGCCGGCCTTGAGGGTGCCGCTGGGCCCCGAGGGCGCCAGGTAGCGTCCCTGGCCGTCGCGGAAGGCCACTTTGCCCGCGCGGAACTCGAGGGTGAACTCGGCGGCCGGCTCGGGCCGCTCCACCAGCTGGCCGTCGCGGCGGAGGAGGCGGTGGTCGCGGGTCTGGAGCCGGTAGCGGCCCTCGTGGAAGAGGAGGGTGAGCAGGGCGTCCACGCCCCACGGCACGTCGCGGCCCACGGCCAGCTCCCCGGCGCCCAGCTGGGCGTAGCGCTTGCGGCTGAGGCTGAAGAGGTGAAGCTGCGGGTGGAGGGCCAGGTGGACCCGCCACTTCTCGGCCCCCGAGACGGCCTGGGCGAAGCAGGAGAGCCGGTCCTCGGTGCCGCCGAAGAAGCGGCGGTGGGGCTCGGATTGGAGCGACCAGCGCCCGTCGTCGTGGGCCAGGATGACGAAGCGGCAGTCGGCCGAGGGCGCCTCGCTCTCGCAGCTCACCTGGCCGTCCTTGTCGGCCGCCAGGTAGCGGCCCAGGTGGCTCCGCAGGTAGACCACGCCGCAGTCGTCGCCGTTCTGCTCCAGCGTCCAGATCTGCTTCTTCTTCAGGCTCGGGGCCGAAGCGTTGAGCTTGAAGCCGAAGGCCTCCGCCGTCAGGTAGCGGTTGCCGCAGTTGATCAGGCCGAACTGGATGGGCAGCGAGTCCGACGGCGGCGGCGGCGGCGAGGCCGGGTTCCCGTTGGCCGTCATGGCGAGGGGTGGACGGAGGAGGTGGACGGCTGGCTGGGTGGCTGGGCTCCTTCTCTCCTTTCCTTCCTTCCTTCCTTCTCTCCCTTCCTTCTTTCCTTCCTTTCTTTCTTTCCTTCCTTTCTTCCTTTCTTCCTTTCTCTCCTTCCTTCCTTCCTTTCTTTCCTTTCTTTCCTTCCTTCCTTCTTTCTTTCCTTCCTTCCTTTCTTCTTTCTTTCTTTCTTTCCTTCCTTTCTTTCCTTTCTTCTTTCTTTCTTTTCTTCCTTTCTTTCCTTCCTTTCTTTCCTTTCTTCTTTCTTTCTTTTCTTCCTGTCTTCTTTCTTTCTTTCTTCTTTCCTTCCTTCCTTTCTTTCTTTCCTTTCTTTCTTTCTTGCCTTCCTTCCTTTCTTTCTTTCCTTTCTTCTTTCTTTCTTTCTTTCCTTTCCTTCTTCCTTGCCTTCTCTCCCCGACGGCTCCTTTGTTAGGCTGCCGCTGGGGCTGCGGAGGAAGAACCGGCTCGACGGACGGACGGACGGACGGACGGACGGGCTCCCCGAGCTCCGCAAAGCCGGGCTGCAGCTGAGCGAGGGAGACAGAGAGAGAGAGAGAGAGACGCGGCGGATGGCAGGACCCGGCTATAAGGCGGGGAGGGGGCGCGGCTGCCCCGCCGCTGCCAATTGAGGCTCGGCGCGCCCGACGGGGCGGAGCTCGGCCGGGGGAGGGGGCGCCCTGCAGCCGCCTCTCCCCCTCCCCTTGGTCCGCAAGCTGACGACACTTGGGGGGGAGTGGGGAAAGGGGGGGGAAGGGGGGGGAAGGAGGAGCCAGGTAGGGGCGGGAGGAGCCACGTTGGAGGGAGTGGGGGGCTCCGCAAAGGCGGGGCTGGCTGGAACGCCCTTGATAAAAAGGGAGGGGGTCTCCGGTGCGGGTATTGGGGAAGGAGGGAGAGGGGGTCCACCGACCAGCATCCTGGGGCAATCTGGGCGTCGGGGGCTGGGATTTCGAGCTGCCCTTGAATGGCGGGGTGGGGGTTAGGGGAGGTGGCTGGAGGTCCCGAGCCACGCGTCCAGCCCTGATTCCCGGGGACCCTCCCCAAATCAGGGGTCCCTTGTCCTGCCCCCACGCACTGCCTTGGGGAATCTCCCCGCCTGCTGCAAACTGCAATATCAGTTGCCCTGATGATATTCAAATCTCGCCCCCCCCCCCCAAAAAATTCTGGGACTTTTTTTTAAAAAAAATTAATTTTGATTCATATGCCGCCCTTCTCCAGAGACTCAGGGCGGCTTACAGTGCGTTAAGCAATAGCCTTCATCCTTTTGTATATTTTATACAAAGTCAGCTTATTGCCCCCACAAACTGGGTCCTCATTTTACCTACCTTAGAAAGGATGGAAGGCTGAGTCAACCTTGAGCCTTGGCGAGATTCGAACCTGCAGTAATTGCAGGCAGCTGGAAGCTAAATACTACCTTTAACAGTAGCATTAGTCTGCTGCGCCACTCAGGCTCTGTTGGGTTTGTACCCCAAGCCAGCTCCATTGTGGGGGAGGGGTGTCTCTGTTTGCATCTCCGCAATCCCCCCTTTCCAAGGCTGCTTTGCTTGATCTGCAAAAGAGGTTAAGATCGGATTGGCACTGGGGATAGAACGCCACCCAGAGATCTTTGGGCTAGGTGCTAAAAAAAAATAAAATCAAATAAACCCACTTCCTTCCTGTCCTTGATTCTGTAGCCAGCCAGGATTCACCTTTCCAGGTGTGGCCAAGGAGATTGTCTTGGCTTAAAGGCTGCAATTTAAGTGCTTGCAGGGGGGGGGGGCTTTACAGTGGAGAGAACCTCACCTGAGTCCCCAGGTAAATTCTGCACCTCTGGGTCTGAGCAAGAGTCTCCATCTTCAAGGACAGAGCCGAACCTCTCCTTAAACCAGAATTTTTAATTCTCATGAAACTTGGTTCAGCGGTTACACGAACGCATCCTGGGCAGGTTTATTCCTTTCTCAAGCCAGCAATCCAAGCCTCCTGAGTAATCCCAGTAGGCAGCGTTAAATTAGAGATGCCAAGTTTCTTTGGGCATCTCCTGTGCATTTAATGGGTCTGCTTACTGGGAATAACAGTTAGCTCTAGAAGGAGAATGATTTTGTCTCCTAAAAGCTAGAGAAAGAAACTGGTGTTTTTTGTTTGTTGTGTGACGATTATTAGCATTAATGATGGCTACTTAATTATTCTAGGCCAGTGTTTTTTTTTCAAAATTGGCAACTTCAAGATGCGTGGACTTCAACTCCTAGAATTCTCTAGCCAGCCATGCTGGCTGGGGAATTCTGGGAATTGAAGTCCACCCACTGGCTGGGGAATTAGTCCACCCACTGGCTGGGGAATTCTGGGAGTTGAAGTGCACCTACTGGCTGGGGAATTCTGGGAGTTGAAGTCCACCTACTGGCTGATAGTTTTGATAGTTGAAGTCCACCTACTGGTTGGAGAATTCTGGGATTGAAGACCACCTACTGGCTGGGGAATTCTGGGAGTTGAAGTCCACCTACTGGTTGGAGAATTCTGGGAGTTGAAGTCCACCTACTGGCTGGATAGTTTTGATAGTTGAAGTCCACCTACTGGTTGGAGAATTCTGGGATTGAAGACCACCTACTGGCTGGGGAATTCTGGGAAGTTGAAGTCCACCTACTGGCTGGATAGTTTTGATAGTTGAAGTCCATCCACTAGCTGGGGAATTCTGGGAGTTGAAGTGCACCTACTGGCTGGGGAATTCTGGGAGTTGAAGTCCACCTACTGGCTGGGGAATTCTGGGAGTTGAAGTCCACCTACTGGTTGGAGAATTCTGGGAGTTGAAGTGCACCTACTGGCTGGGGAATTCTGGGAGTTGAAGTCCACCTACTGGTTGAGAATTCTGGGAGTTGAAGTGCACCTACTGGCTGGGGAATTCTGGGAGTTGAAGTCCACCTACTGGCTGGGGAATTCTGGGAGTTGAAGTCCACCTACTGGTTGGAGAATTCTGGGAGTTGAAGTGCACCTACTGGCTGGGGAATTCTGGGAGTTGAAGTCCACCTACTGGTTGGAGAATTCTGGGAGTTGAAGACCACCTACTGGCTGGGGAATTCTGGGAGTTGAAGTCCACCTACTGGCTGGGGGAATTCTGGGAGTTGAAGTCCACCTACTGGCTGGGGAATTCTGGGAATTGAAGTCCACCCACTGGCTGGGGAATTCTGGGAGTTGAAGTCCACCCACTAGCTGGATAATTCTGGGAGTTGAAATTCACACCCATCATAAAACGGAGGGGGGGGGAAACCATCATCTTAAATACACTTGGCTAGTTTCTGGTTTAATGCATTGTAAGGCTTCAACCAATTTGATCGATTCCACGATGGTTGCGGAAACCATGGCTTAGCGTGCTGTTTGAATACATCCACGCCTAATCCTCTTCTCGTTCTTCATCCAACTGTATTCCACCGCTAGGTTCTGTTCCTAAATCCATTGCCTTCCTGGCAATCTGCCTAATTTAACTAGTTTTATTGCTCTAAGCTTTGAACTACTTATTGGGGGTGGAGGGGGGGGGGGGAGAAAAAAATTAGGGAAAGGTGGTTTTGGGAATGGGGGGCGGTTTGGAAACACGCTTTGGAATTAACTGTATTATTTTGGCAGAATTGTTTGCAACATGCCACCCTATTCTCCCCTTGAATTGCCAACCATCTGAAAGAAGGATGCTAATAATCTAAACAAACTTTGATCTGGAAACTTAAACGGTATCCTTGTTGGATGGATGAAGGCCTTATGCATTATGGGTCCTGGGCAAAGCAGTGTACTAAGGTCCCTAGGACAACGACTCATAGGAATAAAAATATAAATAGTCGATAAAATTAAACGTACATTAATTTTATTGGCACGTCCAACAAAATCGGTGTTGAGACTAAATGTTAAAAAAATTAAAAAACGCTGTGCAGCAACAACTAATCGACACGATCAACATTTAAGCAATACACGAGGCTTGAAAAAACAGAGGATCCAAGGGAGGGGTGAAGAGCCTTGGAAGTACAGTGGTCTAAGGCACCCTGTTATTAAGCTGGTTATTAAGACCAGCTGCCTGCAATTACTGCAGGTTCGAATCTCGCCAAGGCTCAAGGTCGACTCAGCCTTCCATCCTTTCTAAGGTAGGTAAAATGAGGACCCAGTTTGTGGGGGCAATAAGCTGACTTTGTATAAATATACAAAAGGATGAAGGCAATTGCTGAGCACATTGTAAGCCGCCCTGAGTCTCCGGAGAAGGGCGGCATATAAATCAAATTTAAAAAAAAAAAAATGCTCCCGGTTCGGACCGGATCGCCCGATCTGGTAGCGATGGCGGCGAGTGGTTCGGAGAACCAGTAGCAAAAATCCCTGCGAGTGGGGTGGGAATGGGGATTTTGCAGTATCCTTCCCCTGCCACGCCCACCAAGCCACACCACGCCCATAGAACCGGTAGTGAAAAAAAAATTGACTTTCACCACTGAGTCCCACTCTGCAAGGATGATGTTCATTCTCACCCACCCACATGAGTCTCGGATGAGGTCCAATTGATTCCTTTGGACTTCATTCTGCCCCCCCCTCTCCTCTTCATCCCTCCTTATTCTCAGCCATTATTCTCTCTCCCTCATCCCTGTTTATCCATCCATCCATCCATCCATCCATTCATTCAGTCTGGCCGATGTTTGGCTGTCCTTATCTCTGGTCCCAGCTGGAGAAGCCTTTGTGGTGGTGGGGAAAATGGTTTGTTTGTCCTTCTTTTACAAACCTCCCTTCCTCCTCCCCTCCATCTCTGCCTACCACCATCCTTTCCCCTCCCTCTGGTCCCACCCTCCTGGCCCAGTTGGGCTCCCAAATCACGTGGGAGGGGTCCCCTTCCTTTACCCCCCCTCCCGTTAGCCAAGCTGGGCGTGCAGAGGTGACCCCAGCCAGTTTCACCCTCTCCCTCCTCCTCTTCCCTCCCCCCCCAGTGCAAAACTGGGCGAGTTCAGGGGATTGCCAAATGCCAGCCTAATGCAAGGAAAGGAGATGGAAGATTCCAGAAAGGAGCAGAGAATTCTGCAGCGGGGAGGAAACCTGAAGATTCCCCCCCCCTCCTTTCTGTCTCTTTTTTTCCCGTTGGGGAATCTTTGGAACTCCATAAAATCAGCGTTTTCCCTTTCGCTGCCTGATATGAGCTCTTGGTTGCCGATGAAAGGCTCTGGGTACTCTAGGCATGCTCAGAGGCACTCTTGCTGCTCAAGTCATTTTGCTTTGGGTGGGACGAACCATTTTGCCCTTTTTGGGGGTTCTGGATACTTAGCTGGAAATTTGAGCCTTGGTTAGGATCAACGCAAGGAAGAGCTCTGCAGGTGGGAGGCTCGGGAAACTCCAGGTATGCTCAGAGGCACTCTTGCTGCCCAGATTTATTTTGCTGGGACCCCCCCCCCCAACTTTGAGCAAAGGTCTCCCTGGGGAACATTTCTGTTCCCCATTTGAAGTGAATACCTCAATCCAGGTAGCAATTCTGGGCAAGTTTATCTGTAATGCTGTCCTTTACTTAGAGCTAGTTGGCTCTAATCTCCTGCAGGCTTTTTCTAAAATGAAAAATAAGCAAAATGAAACTCAGCTCAAGGCTCA